TACGTGCTTTTTGCATTTGTACTGCAAGATATGATTTAAGCTCTCTTAATATTAGCTATGGAAGGACAAAGTTTGAAATATTCCGTGAACATGTTGGTTACTGGCATTTTGTATTATTACGCCGTACCCGGCTGTGTTTGATTAAATGTTGCAAGTTATGCTGCTTCTTATCACGGGTGTCATTTATCTTTGTCCGGCTTCGCCAGAGAATCTGGTCTGCCATAAGCGATCACAACTGCGATATTACAACGAGAACACTGGAACCACGAGGCTTGCCGAACAGAGCATCCGCAGTGATCGGAAGGCACTGGAAAATCAAAGATTTACCGTCACCCGTCGGCAATTTACAAAAATATTTTGACCTTCAAGAAATTCGCGAACCGAGTTTTCCTGTTCGGGTAGAAGATTATTGATTTCAAACTGCTCTCTCACGGCTTTGAACGCTTTTTGCCAACCTTCCTCTGTAATTGCAGGCATCTTATTTCCAACTCGAGTTAGATTTGACGTTTAATAATCTACAAATTTACAAATGTACTTGGGAAACTCACACAAAATTATTTTTAGCATTACGTGTAGTTGCGCGATCGCTTTCGCAAGAATTATCCAATCAGAAAGCGCGTAAGAAACTAGCCAATCAAAAATGGATACACGAACTGCGGGATATCAGAACAAGCTTTTAGGAGCCGTTGCGCAGACGGACTATACCGGCGGTTTAGACTGTCTGCAAGACTTCCTTCGATTGTGTGTAACATTGGAAAGGGGTAAAGGGGGAAAGAGGGTGGTTCTCAATCTACAGTGCCAGGGATTAGATGTAGAATAATGGAAAATTGAAATTGGCACTCATTTTAATCAACTGTCTTGTCGCTCATTGTTGGTTAGCTTGAGAAAATAGAGGTTTAAGAAGGGGTTAGCCTAATAAGTTTCTGGAGTGAAAATGGTTTGAAAATCAAAATTTTTGGCAAATAATAAAATGATGTTGTTAATTTATACTTTCATGTAAAGTTGCCATAGACGGGACCTTCATAAAGATCAAGGCACCCGGTGTAGACCCTGAGTCATACATTTGCAGGAAAAGGTTTTATGCTTCACAATTGCAGGTAAATATTCTCATACCATTACCTAGCTATATGGATCAGTGAAAAGAGAGGAATTGATCAGTCCTCCTTCTTTAACCAAGTACTAGTCATACTAGTCTCTTTGGTGTTTTTGAGCCAGATCATAATTTTTTTCATGTTTCAATAACTAATTAATGCTTCGCCTACATATAGATTGTTTGTGACAATAACATGATCCTCACAGATGTATTAGCAGGTTGGCCTGGATCTGTCCATGATTCCAGAGTTCTCAGAAACTCTTCTCTTTTTACCACTTCTGCAAACAAGTTTCCTGGAGATTACCACATCATCGGGGATGGGAGCTACCCGCTTTTGAGATATTTTTTAATGTTGAACAAATATTTTTTTGTTATAAGCTATATGTTTAATTTCAGTTGTGTAGAGCAATTTTCAATTTTCTACTCTTAAAATTTCAATTCATCAATTATTTTACTTTACCCTCTACGTTAATTATTTCTGGCAGGATTTATTATTCAAACTGTTTTTCAAGTGGATTGCCATCACTATATGCAGTGTAGTATTCAACACAAGATTAACATATTACCTTTTTGGGGGCAAACTATATAAATTTAAGAAAAGATGATTCTCTGATTTTATGTTTGCTCCTTAATTACAGATGGCTCATGACTCCTTTCAGGAATAATGGTCACTTACTGCCAAATCAGCTCCGTTTCAACAATACCTTGTCATTATCCAGACAGATCGTAGAGTGTGCAATTAGTCTTTTGAAGAGGAGATGGAGAAAACTGGGTCATTTGAACCATTTACGCGTAAAGCTTATGACTAAGATAGTAATGGGAGCCTGTGTCTTGTACAAGTTCACTCTTATTCATGACGATTTTGATGAACGTTGCTTCCTGGATGATGATGATGATGATGATGATGATGATGACAATGATGATGATGTCCATGATAGCAACTGAAGAGACAGAGCAGCTGAACTAAAGCGTCAACATCTATCAAACATAATCGTCGGTTAATTAAGAAGTGAGACTTTTTGTCCTGCCTATGGGGGTACTTGGGATTTCAAGTAACAGGGATGATCAAAGGGTATTTGGAGGTCTTTGAAATTTTCAATAGTGAGTTTCTTTTTGTAGGAAAATTTGGCAAGTATTTTTTGGGGTGGCTTGATATGAATAGGGATTTTTTGGTCATTCAAAACAATCTAAAGATTTGTGGTAGTGTCTTGGCAGGATAGTTCTGCAAATAAAGTACAGCAAATATGTTTTCCTGTTGTTTATAGTTAACAGTCACGCTTTAAATTGCTATTGGCATTAATAAAACGGGTTACAGCTATGTTGAGAAAGGTTGTCCAAAAACACGCAAGTGACAATCCCGAAGTGTATTTTGGGTAATTTTAAGTTCGCTGTTTCTTCACTTGAGCATCTCAGGGAAACCTGAAAATCTGTCACAAGACGCCATAGACATATACGTAAGTCTGGGAGTGCTAAAAGAAAGCAACAGAAGTAGGTTCCACAGATTCAGTGTCATGAACTGAGTGTATTGATCATATCCCAGATTG